ATATTAAGGTACATTAAATGAAAGCAAATTACACAGCTAAGAGAACATATAACGCAGGAGAAGATTTCTGAGAGAAAAGCCAACCTTTTTTGTTCGTTTAAGTAAATAACATTCACCGCGAGTAATACGATTGTTATGCTTAGACTGCGGATTTTATGCATTTATGAAAAAAAGAACAGAAGATCAAATGCAAAACTATGAAAATATTTGTAGAGTTTCAAAGTGTCTACGTAACACCTGTATTTTGTAATTAATACAAACAGTTTTTATTTTTTAACAGTTTTTTAAAAATCCGCAGTATAATTATGATACTTCGAAATGCATTTGGCACGGGTTAATATGGGAAACCTTTGCAATTATGGCGTCAACGAAATTGCTACGAAAAGATAAAATGGTGCATGAAAGCTCTTAATCAACGTCGCCGCGTGATACAATATAAATGAGGCTAGCAAATCCTCTATCGCATCAGTACGTATATTAAGTCATTTTAGATTGTTTTCCTAGACTTTTATCGTACGAAGGCTAACATCACTTATCTCATTAGACGTATTTCTAACGCGAACTTGATAAATGCACTTTTCGCTTCGTTTTATCTTCTTTATCAACGATTCCGGATACGCTACATTTCGCCACAGTTGGGTAAAATCTTACAATTTATTCATAGAGGAATTCACGCGGAAAATATTCGATTTGAATAAACATGATGGAATGTAAAGCGTGAATATAAACGATTTGCAATAGTGGTTTCCTTTCTTAAATCAGTGTGTACTGGCACGATTTATATAAATAACAATTTCTACAAATAACGATTTATATAGATAACGATTTATATAAATATCGATTTATATAAATAATGATGTATATAAATAACGATTTATTTAAGTAACGATTTATATGAATCCTCCCGATGTATATAAATAATGATGTATATAAATAACGATTTATATAAATAATGATTTATATAAATAACGATTTATATAAATACTGATTTATATAAATCATGCCAGTATATATTGTAAGAAAAATGATAACCTTTAAGAAAATGCTGAAGAAGAGAAAGCGATGTTTTTGATTTTACAATAGAAAGTCTCCTTCATATCTCCAAAACAATTCAAGTAATTTGATTCAATTTGACAGACGTTATTCCGTGCTCACTTCTGTACGTCGTACTGTACTTACAAATTATTAATACTTCCCATAATAACTGTAATACAACAACAATGTAATCGTGAAGGGATCGTTTCTTTGCAGTGTACACGACGTTTCGAATCAGCTGACGAGATAATTTTACGAATCTGACGGCGGTGCAGAAATAACTAACGCACTTTGTTGCGTGGCTCCAAAAATAGCCGACCTATAAAGGGTGGGTCATTTCATGTTCTCCTAATGTGATATCCATTTGCCCATTCCGTCGCTATCGGTACAGCCCAACTGTTACATGAATGGACTAGAAACTTTGGGGCTAATTTCGTAACATTAAGTAATTACCAATTATGAAGGATCCAAAACGATCCGAAAGCTATTTTAACGGATTCATTCAGCGTAGCGTCGATCTGAACTCATTCAAAATTTTATGTACTCTTTTTGTGTAAGGGTCCATATTTTAAATAATGGGTCGGTGGGAATATAATGACTGTTTTCGACGCTTTAAATTTTAGTACATTGTTTTGACAATATTTGTAAAAATACCAGTCTACCTACGTATCTTTAACAAATTAATTTAATTATCGTTATAGGGAAAATTGAAGAATTTTAAAAAGTGTCTTTTGACCTTATGATAACAATAGTATTATGCAATATCATTTGCTTTTATCGTTTGATGATGTCCATTTGACATTTTTGATTTAAAAATGTAAGAATGCAAATTAAATCAGTTCAACATAAGAAAAAAATATCGAAGCCAAACCATTTTAACGAAGAAACACTTAAAATTGATTTTAAACACTCCATTCGATATATCAAGAATTATTTGATATTTTCAAAATTCTATGAAAATAACAGAATAGACTTATTGTTCGCAATATTATACTCATGTGATTGGTTCTAAGTTATGTACATAACATGTATAGCAACTTGGAACATGAATTTCAATATTTTTTCAACAAACATCAGTTTCACACACTGTTGTTTCAATGAACATAAGTTTCATTGTTTCAATGAACACAAGTTTCAATGTTGTTTTAGTGAAAAAATGTTGAACAATTGTTGGACAATTGTAACAACGTTAATACTTCAAAGGCCCAATTATTTTTGTACGATCCAAATACGTTAAAAACTTGATCAAGAGATCTAGAAACTTGATTTAACAAGATAGAAATATCTTGTTTTCCGAATTTAATAAAGGTACGTTCCAGAAGATGGAGATTAGGAAATTTGTAAAGTGAATTATGATTCAATTCTTTCCACTTTATATGTCAAGCGAGTCACTATACATTTAATAAATATTACATTAATGTAATATTTATTTGCTTTAAAGCAAGTTGACATAATGTTATTGAAGTGATAAAATAATTAAATAATTAACGAACAAGCTTAAATATTCTATTGACTTGTTTTCAATGCTTCAGATTTATTTAATTTGGTTCACCAGACACAGTGTTTGGTTGGGGAAAATTAAAAGGCGCAGAAGGCTTATCATAATTCCTGTAATTTTTCAAAGTGAATACTTATATTTTTGACGGCATTTGCAATATTTTTAATAGTGACTGAAGATTAGTGTTGGATGACGTTGAACCAATGCATATCTACATTCATGCACTTCTGGGCCTAATGCCATCTTTCAATTATGTAAAACCGCGAGCACATTCATTTTCTATTAAAGAGGAAGAACGTCTATTAAAAGAAATAACACAAAGTTGCATTTTTACAAATAATTACATTTAATTCAAGATAAATATAAATCAGACGATCTTTCAATTACATGCACCCACTAATTTCGTTATACATTGTAGATTGCTTAATAAAATATCATGTTCGATCAAAACGGTGTCTTCATATAATTCTACCAAAAATTTATTACATAAAGCGTACAGGCAGAATAGTCCAACAAATTCAGCTATCGGTTTAAAGTTGCAAATTTAAATTTGAAAAATATTTCGATGTCTATTATATATTTATACATAGTTTGTATTCATTTTCTTATGAAAATATAGTTTGAATCTTTGGAAATAAATTATAAACATTGTAAGTAACAGATCGAATACGGTCATTTTTAAATGAATAATTAAAAAATAAATATTGAAGCTTCGATAA